TAAAAAAAATCTTAAAAAAGGTTAACATTCGAAAATTTGAATGTAATCACTTTTACACAAAGGGATCTTATGCCGAAAACGCATAGAAAAGATGACTACACAGAAAGTTAAAATTTTCATAAAAGAGTAACCCTTCGTTTCTTGATTTTTAATTATCAAAATAATAAAATTCAAGTTCAACAATAAGGGTCATAAGCACTATTTTATAGACTAATTCCAAATTGATTCAAAATTTAAAATATAAAATCCTAAAAATAAGGAAAATTCTTAAAATAATATAATGATAATTAACTTCTAAAAATAAATAAATAATTACAGTTAAGTCATTCAAAACACGTCCCGAATCTTACATCTCAAATCATGCAAATGTATTTTTTTCATTTTCTTGTCAAACAAATCACAATTATATTTGTTGCTTCATTTGGATTTGTTTGTAATTTGTTATATTTTAAATTACTGCTTCTTTTAACAATTGTGTCATACTTTATTCTACCACAATTCTTGTTGACTTTGAGCTTCTTGAATCACTAATTGAGCCATGTGCAATAAGCCAACTGTGAGTGCATCATTATCCCTTGCTAGGAAAAGATTCGTTCTTGAATCTTCTTCATCTTCGCTTGTATCAATCTCTTTAGGTAGAAACTCAATTGATAATTATTTCTCTATTAGATCTTCATCATCAGATTCTTCATCAGATTTATCATAGAGTGAATTATCTTCATAAATGGGGCTTAGCCCCTCTTTATTTACAAAAAAAAAAAAAAATTATCTTCATAAATTAAATTTGTATCATAGGATGGATAATCATCATAAATGAGATAATAATTATAAATGAGATAATTATCACAAATTGTGTTATGATCATAGACATCAAAGTCAGGAATGTTGATCTGCATCTCGATATCTTGAAAAATTGACTGATTTCTAGGTCGTACTTTTCAATTCTGTCCCTGGTTTAGAATCTCCAAGGGATTGACGTCCTCCTCTTCATCATCATATGCGTCCTCTAATTTCATTCATTCTTCGGATTTAATCATAGTTGTAAAACCTGGCCCGACCCGGTCGGGTCGATCTGGAACCCGACGAATCAGTCATCAGATCGGTTCGGGTCAAGTATTGAACCAGTCATGTATCAATCCGGTCAAACTCGATCAAAACCCGACCAAACAGGGTCCAAACCGGTGATCCAGTGACCCGATCGGGTCGTGCATTTAAAAAAAAAAAAAAACCAAAAAACCAAAATTGTTTCATCTTGTCAAAAAAAATGCAAAACTCATTTTAAAATTTTTTGTAATTTTATTTGCTAGTATACTCTTCTACAATGACCTCAAATTTCAGCTTCCAATACTGAAGTAATTTGCGGAATAATAAATTAAGAGAATATGACATATATCATTTTTAATGTAATTAAATTTGAAAAATATGATTTCAATGTCATTGAGAGGTATGTTTATGGGGATTCTGAGTTACAATTTTAATTGACATAGTAATAGCATGCATTTTTATTTACTTATGCTTCTTGTTTTTGAGCTTATTTAATGAACCTTATTTAATTTATTTTAGATATGCAAAATATAATTGAATTTATATGTTCATATTTATATATATTTTTATAATCTATATATATATTTAGGTCAACCGGTCCGACCAGTAACCCACCGATCCGACCAGTGACCCAGTAACCCAATACCCAGACCGGATCAATGTCTGGGTCGGATTTAATGACTAACTTCGTCCACGAAATTTGTCGCTCCAAATTTTGTATTTCCATGCTCTGCGTCTCCACAAGTTGTCGCTTCAAAACTTGAATTTTCTCGTTATGCGCCCATGCCTGTCGTCGCTCCAAATCTTGAATTTTCTTGTTCTGCACTCATTACAAGTATTCACTCCAAAACTTGGATTTTATTGTCCAACGCCTGTTCAAGTTGTCACTTCAAATCCTAGATCCGCCTTCTGATCTCTTCACTTTCTATGTCACGTGGGTCTATCTGACATGGTTTTCTGTGTTCTTTAGGAACGAATCCATATCCCTTGCCTTCACCACTCTACCGTTGATGACTTCTACGATTCTATTTAGCTATTGGTTGAAAGCAACCTAGTGCTCTGATACGAAATGATGCCGAAAACACGTAGTGAAAATGGCTAACAGAAAGTTAGAATTTTCATAAAGGACTAACCCTCCCGTTCTCAACTTCTAATTATCAAAATAATAAAATTCAACTACTATAATAGGGGTCATAAGTATCCTTTTACAGACTAATTACAAATTGATCCAAAATTCAAAATTTAAAATTCTAAAAATAATGAAAATACATCTCAAATCTTAGATCTCAAGTCATGCCATATATGATGCTTTCCTTTTCTTGGTAAACAAATCACAATTATATTATTTACATATCATTTATATTATTTTCTAATAATTTTACACTATATTTTTAGGTAATAATATATATTAGAAACCAATTGCACTCTGTTAAAAAAATCTCAATATCATATTTGTTTAGAAGAAAAACAAAAATTACATTTTCAATAGGGGCATGATCTTTTGACGCTGGTGTTAACTAAAAAGTTTGATATTTGATCTTAACAGTTGATTTCGTAAATCTAACAGTTATAATTTATTAGGTTATTCTTATTAATTAATTATTAATTTTTTATAAATTATAATTGTTAGATTAGTAAAATTTAACAATTAAAATCTAATGTCAAAAAATCATGTCCTATATATATATATTAAAATAAAATAAAATGTAGAAGAAATAATATTAAAAATATTGTTTAGTCTTAACAATGCATTAAGCTCTAGACCAATGTATCCTCCCCAACAGCCACAAGTTGACAACTTTTTCATTCTAATTCTTTGATTTGATAGCCTCGTACAATTTGTCAGCATCATCCACCTCCCTCAACTAAAAGGTAATTTTAGCATAGGAGAAACTATTCTTATACAACATAAGAGTATTTTATCTTCTATAGACCTATCGAAAATCATGATACTTTTTTTTTCTTTTTTTTTGTAAATAGTAGACCCCACCACATTTGTCTCTACAACATAAAATATCTTCTTTCATGTAACATGAGATTAGATGAACCCTTTTAGCATCAACTTCTTCAACAACAAAATCATATAAAAAATAAAAAAATCACTTCTGTTATTGCTGAAAAACGATCTTCTCATGTAACAAATCCATCAACATTTTTCATTCATATTTTTTTTAAAAAAAAAAATGAGAAATCTCACCATATTAGAAGACAAGATTTTGTAGTAACAACAAAAATACAAAGCCCATAAAAAATATGGTATTTTGAAATCATTTCTCAAAATATGATATTAATATTAAATTATATAAATAAATAAAAAAAGATAAGATAAACCTTAATTTGCATATTGATGCTCGAGCCAATATTCTCTTACTGCTTTTTTTATTTTGGTAATTAATATAATTTTCTTCATTTTGTCACATCTATTTATAAGTTGTTTCGTGTGAATTTTTCCATACTCTCCTTCCAACAACTATTGGTATCAGTGGCGGACGTGCGTTTCTGCATGTGTCTGCACTTGCAGACACAAAAATTTGAGAATTTTTTGTGCTTTTTCAAAAGGGTGAATAATTTAGGTCAAGTAAAAAAAAGATTTAGAAAGATTGAAAAGAGAAAAAGTAAACATAAACCTAACTGTGGTAGTTAAAATCAGAATTTTCCATAAAATTAGAAGGAGGATAAAAAATCGTAAAACATAAAATCTTAACATAAAAAAAATCGTAAAAAATCATAAAATCAAAAAAGTGTTTGGAATTTGGATGAAATTGTTTTGATTAAAAAAAAAATCGTAAAATCACAGATTTAAATCGGGATTTTAACTAACATGGGCCCAACCCAACAACCCCTATAATTAAAAGCTTAAACTATACCTCATTGCTTTGTCTCTTCTTCTTTTTTGAAACATAAACCTTATTAGCTCCAAATTTTAATAGACATCAATGATTCCTGAAATTTAATCTTTATCAAGTGGAGAAGAATTGCACGAGATTTTTCACGTTTTTTTGTAAAGCAAAAGTGGCCAACTTTGGATCAAATAGACATTGACAGAGGTGGATTTTTGATCAATTAACCGCTACAATTAAACTATATTTTAGAAATGTCTTTTTGTGGTGTTTATTTATTTTTTAATTATCATTATCGATTATTTCTCTAAAACTTTACTTTTCAAGGAACGAAGAATCGAAGAATGCTTTTGTGATCGTTCTATTGTAACAGCTTAGTTGACTCTTAATTATTATTTTTTTATGTTAAGTTAAAATTTTCTTTTCTTTTCTTGTTTATATTTTTTTAATACATTTAAAAATTTCTTTAAAAAAATCTTCGGGGATGCTGCCCCCAAATCCCCGTCCTAAGTGTGCAGACATAAAAAAAAAAATTCTAGGTCCGCCACTATCCCATTTATTATGGGTTATTTTTTCTAGTCATAATCAAATAGACTTTGCTATCATTTTTATTTTTAGGGTCAGATTTTATTTTTGTTTAACAAAACCCCAAATAAAAAATAAAAAAAATGAACAAATTAATTTAATTATTAACAGTTTTAAAGGTAATCTTGGATGAAAAAAAATCACAAGAGTAAATGATAAGAAAAAAAAACATAAAAAATATAAGTGATAAAAAAGTAAACTACATACAAGTTTATGAACTTTTCCCTAAAATAAATTGTGATAAAAGGTTGTAAGAAAAAAAAAAGTATAAGCATAACTAGGGGTGTTAACGAGCCGAACCTGTGTTCAAATGTGCCAGACTGGCTTTATCCTGTTACCTGTTACGAATATAATATCAGCCTGTGGTCTGACTCATTTACAAAAAATAAAAACCTTGTTTAGCCTGTTTAAACAAAAATTTATCCAAACAAAATATACAATCAACAACACTAGTAATTCCATAAATATCCATAAATTTAATTTATATCCAAATAGCATAATATAAAACAAAATCATTTAAAAAATCTGTTTAATTAATAAAATGAGATGAAATGAATTGAGAAGAGAGAGAGGGCTATCACAAGTAGTATAAAAAAAATAAAAATAAAAATATTAAGCAAACCTGAGAGGCTGTAAGGCCGAGCTTTTGAATTGGAGCCTGAGACCTTTTTATTAAACGAGCTTTTATACAAGTCCAAGTCTGGGTCCAACAATAAATTTTAGACATGTAAGCTCAGGTCTTCACGAGCCGAGCCAAAGGCCCCTGACTCATTTAGCACCCCTAAGCATAACCTCCTTACATAAACTTATATTTCACAAAAAAAAAAACTAAAACTAAAACATCAAAGTTGTTTTTTTTTTTTTTTTTTTAAATGAGTTGGGGATGTCATTACCATCCTCATCTGAAAAGTGATTGCAGTGTGTTTGCCATTCAAAATATCTCGTTGAAGAAGCAAAATATGATTTGTTTTTTTAAAAAAAAATTAAAAGAAATTATTATCAACTTATAGCACAAAATTACATATAAAATTCATGGCAAGTTTGGAGAACTTGCATGTAATAACAACTTAACACCACGCAAACTATATCATGGTCGCTACGGCAGATATAAGCTTTCAACATTACAAGACAAGGAAGTCATATTTATATTTACTAGAAGGTTAATTAATCTGTCTTCTTTTTTAGTGTTAAGGATTTTTCCTACACCAAATCAATTGTTACCATCTGATTTTATTGGTCCTACATGTACTCTCACAAATATAGTAAGACCAACAAAATCATGACTGTACTTGGTATAGTTTAGAAAATTTCTTAACGCCAAAAAAGACACAAGAATCTTTCCCCGTGTTAAATCTTCAGTTAGAGAAGGGCAACCTGAAAAAACAAATAACTTGTTAAAATGTAATAAACAAATTAAAATACAAATTTTTGTGGAATTTAAAAATAAACATATATAGGGTAAACAAAACAGTTTAATCCTGTATAAAAAAAAAAAAAACAGTTTAATCCTGAGATTCTTGCTGAGATTTTGTTATTGTTGCTTACCCTAACTTGAGAGAAGTGTCCGAGGAATCATCCTCAATAGGAGGATCACTAATGCAACTGCTTATATTATTCATGGATTCTAATGAGACACCTTCTTGCATTCCAATATCCGATTCCACCACTACAGGACTTTTTGCTTTACACAGCATACCCACCATAAGCGTCTCCGCTAGCTGATTAATTAATTTTAACTTTGTAAATCAAAGGAAAAGAAACCAAGACATTCTTTTCTTTTCTTTTGTGTGTGTACGTGTGTGTGTGGGGAGAAGGGGGTTACAATAATTAAACCAAGACGTTCTTGTAAATTGATTTCTCACCTTTTGCTTTAACTGCTTGTTCTTTTCTTCCAACACGATACCCTTAATTGGCAGAATGAACATAAAAGAAAGCAACAATCCTCAGAATTTTGATGTGAGTTGAATCTAGAAATACAGAAATCTTGCCTGAAGTCACTATTTTACTGAGTATTATGATATTCCTAGAATTAAAGCATACTATAACCTGGTGCTTTTCGAATTATATGCACATAATTTAACCTAGTACTATCGAACATGATTACATTCATTATGCAACAACAATATCTAGCACCTATTCATTTAGAGGGTACCGAGAGCTCCATACTACATGCATGTGTATTTTAATTTGATTAAGCATTGAAAGATACTAACTTCATTATCAAGCTATCAACAAACCTTATTCTGAAGTTCAGAAATCTCAATCATAACTCGCTTTTCCTGAAAGTAAAGGTTGCATTGAGTTAGAGTTAGGACAAACCATCAACATATGTTGGGAGGAGGATATTTGAGAAAAGGAAAGGTTTGGAAAGATATGGAGGAAGATAACACTTTTATTACTACACAACTCTTTTTCCTTTTTGGCTTGATGGCTTGATCCAAAATGATGGAAGACACACCTATTTATACTAGTGGCACCTGCTTAACCAATGGCTAGGATTGTGCCAACACAATTCTCATCTAAGGGCTACAAATTATTCTCTAGAATTTTCTATACTAGCCTAGTAAAAATATTAATTGTGGTAGGTGCAACTACCCTCTAGAACCTTCATGGAATTGACTAGAATAGAGATTTCTAGATCTTGGGCTAAACTAACTCTTAAAGGATAACTCTGGATGTTGGGCTAAACGTATACTAAGCCCAATGGGCCAAAACTAAATCAAGTTTATTTATTCAACACCCCCCTTAAACTATATTTTGTAAACCAATCATATTATGTGGACACATTTGTCCGGTGGCTTTGGGATTGGTGGAAGATAAACAATCTTTATCGGTGTTTGTGACGTCTCCGGTACATACACGATCTCTGCTAAATTTGACCAAGTAATCCTTGGTTTTTCCCTTTGCTCATTCTCCAAAATATCTTTTTTCTTTTGCTTTTCTAGCACATCAACGAGAGTTTGTTTTTCTTTTATTGAAATTATTTCTCCTTTGTTTGTCTTCTTTGTAGGTACTCCCCCTGATTTGTTGTAACTGATCCTTGGCTTCACTTTCTGTTTAATTTCTTTGTTGCTGTTGCTTCTTCCTGCTGATGGTGTAGATGCAAGAGTTGTTAGAGTAGGACTTGGTGGAGGAGTTTGATCATTTCCATCTTGAACTGTCTGCCCTTCTGAGTCATCAACATTTCTAAAGAATACGCCTTCAATTTTCATTTCTTTAGTTGCTATATGCTTTTTCTTGGTTGTCATTGTTTCATCCAATATGAAATTTCTTTGGGGTTCTATCTTTGATTCTGGCAGTGTTAGTACTGCTTCATTCTCCTCTTCTTCTTCACGTTCCTCATCATCATCATTGACGTCAATAGGATCACCACTACGCTCGTTGTCACCTTCTCCTCCTCTTTCTTCTTCATGCTCTTTCATCAAATCGGATTTATCCATCCACTCAGCAGCTTCTTTATCTTCTTCCACATCATCAATATTATCAGCTTCAGCTTCTTGTTGTTCTTTTTCCTCTTCTACAATCTCTGATTTTTCTGACTCCAATTCATTTTGGATATCGAGTTCTGATTCTGGATTGCTTGATTCTGTGTCAAGATACCATGTATTCTCTTGTTCTCCTACATTGTCGTTGCGTACCATCAACAGAGTGCCATCTTCTTGACTTTTCTCTTCCACATAGTTTGCCTTCTCCTCAATCCTCCTTATAGGGGCTCTACATTCAGAAGCATAATGGTCGAACCTTTGACAGTTGTAGCACTTGATTTGTGATTTGTCACGCCTTGGTTGGAAGCCACCTCTTCCACGACCTCTTGTTGAGATTTCTCCTCGATCTTCATGGGCATAGTTGTTGTTGAAGCCTATTCTTCCACGTCCACGACCTCTTCCTCGACCACGATATCCTCCTCGTCCTCTTGTGTTGCCAAAGTCTTCTTCCTTTCCTTTGAAGTTGAGTTGTGTCTTGAGTAATTGTTCACCAACCTCTTGCTTTTTCTTTTGCTTCTCCTCATATGCTTGTAAGGAGCCCAAGAGTTGCTCTATTGTCATAGCTTCCAAATCTTTTGATTCTTCTATGACAGTGACAATACGATCGAATTTCGAATCTAAGATCGCAAAATTTTCTCCATAATTTTTACATCATCTATCTTTTCACCATTTCTTTTTAATTAATTAGTCATCGTCAAGACTTTAGAAAAATAATCGGAGATACTTTCGGCATCTTTCATGTGTAAAGTTTCAAACTCACTTCTTAGAGTTTGAAGACGTACCTTCTTGACCGGTTCAGCACCCTTGTAAGAGGTTTGTAGCTTCTCCCATGCTTCCTTTGCAGTGGCTGCCTCCGAAATCTTCTCAAAAGCATCTTCATCCAATCCTTGATAGATGAGATAGAGAGCTTTCTTGTCTCTCTTTCTTGAATCCTTCAAGCTATCCCTTTGAGTTTGGGATAGAGTGACTCCTTCTTTTGGCTCATCGTAGCCTTTCTCTACCACTTCCCACACATCTTGTGATCCAAGGAGGGCCTTTATCTTGATGCTCCAATTATCATAGTTGCTCTTGGTGAGCATAGGGACTTGGAAAGGAACCATGTTGCTACTTGCCATTTCTCTAGAAAGGATCTTAAGGCTTTGATACCACTTTGTTGGAAGGAGGATATTTGAGAAAAGGAAAGGTTTGGAAAGATACGGAGGAAGAGAACACTTTTATTACTACACAACTCTTTTTCCTTTTTGGCTTGATGGCTTGATCCAAAATGATGGAAGACACACCTATTTATACTAGTGGCACCTGCTTAACCAATGGCTAGGATTGTGCCAACACAATTCTCATCTAAGGGCTACAAATTATTCTTTAGAATTTTCTATACTAGCCTAGTAAAAATATTAATTGTGGTAGGTGCAACTACCCTCTAGAACCTTCATGGAATTGACTAGAATAGAGATTTTTAGATCTTGGGCTAAACTAACTCTTAAAGGATAACTCTAGATGTTGGGCTAAATGTATACTAAGCCCAATGGACCAAAACTAAATAAAGTTTATTTATTCAACACAACATGCACCAAAGGATTAACTTATGTGTGTACCTTTATCTCAATCACGCGGTTGAGTCCTTTTTCAAGTGTTTTCTCCAGTTGCTGCAACTCGTTTAGGTCTAGTCCTTGAAGATCGTCGCCTTTCATACGCCTGGTCCATCAAAATATAAATACTGTGGATTTTACTCAAACACATCTTCTATTTTCTTGTATTTTAACTCTCTTTTTTCTTTAACAAAATTGATATACCTTAGTTGTTGCGTTCTATCTTCAATTTCCTTATTCAATTTGGCGCTATCGCTAGCGTCTAGCTGAAATGAACAATTATACAATTGCTAATTATATCAGTTCCAAATTAAAAAAACAGATAGCTAGATATATAGTGCACAAGTAGTAATAAAGATAAGTGATGGTGGTAGCTCAGTTGGTAGCTAGAGAAGAAATGGCCTCAATTTGATTCCTACATGCCATCTTTGGAAGGAGTTTAAATATCTTTATCTTTGACTCATCCCGCACTCCAGATTATTAGCCCCATAACCGACTCAAAGAGTCAAACCTTACGAGAATACCATAGAGAGATAACTCACCTCAAAGAGTTAATTAGGATTGGGTTAACTCCAAATAAATAAATAAATAGATGTCACAATTTTTTTTTAACTAAAACAATTATATAAACATACTAAATTTTATAACTTGGGTTTCACCAAGTTTAGGCAATAAGCTGTATACAATCATAAAAAATTAATAAATAGAGAAAAACAAAATGTAAGAACTTTTTATTTTGTGTACAACCTGCAGTTCTAGAGAAGGTCTGTCCAATTTGTTGATGCCTTGTAAGTGCGTATTATACCTTGTAATTATGTCCTTCGTACTTTACCAAACCAAAACAAGAAGGATGAGAAAAATAAAAGAATTAAAAGAGTTAGTCACAGAAGTTAAATAAACTTTTGAAAGAAATAAGGCATGTTGTGAAAGATTTTTCTCAACTAAAACAGCATTATAATAGTGAAAGTAATTGTAGAGGGGCAGAGTTACATCCCGTGAAATATAACTAAGGTGGTGTTTGGTAAACATTCTTTAGAAAGAAAGTGAGGTGGGAATAAAAGTTTCTCACAATTGATATAAAGAGATAAAAATTATTCCTAGTATAAAATATATCTTAAGAATGAAAATTTGTAAATGAGGAGGGAAAATTACATTCGCACTTATATAGGTGGAAATAAAACTTTACCGTGGGAATGAAAATTTTTTAACTAGACAAATTATTGAATTATTTCTCCAATTTGTCTTCCTTTGCCAAACACATTGGCAGCTTCAATTTCTTTGGGTTTTGCACTGCAATATTATCTTGATAACCTCTCCCGTACTCATTTTCTCTTAGTTCTCACTGGCAATTCAAGCCTCATCCGGCTCTGGACATTGGACTTTGGGTAAGACATCAACCTAGCTTTTTTCGTCTCCTCTTCATTTCACTTGTACGTTCTACATGTTGAGATATTCAAGTGTGATGAGTTCAACATTGATTAGTAATGAGCTAAGTGAAAAGTATATAAGTGGAAGAACCCATAAACCCAATGCCTTAAGATTTTGAGTTGAGATGTGATGTCGGACCCACTTGGTGTATTTGATCCACTTAGCTCATTGATGGTGGCCTCCCTCCATGGGCTTCCCTTGGACCTGCCTGACAGTGGTATCAGATCCAAGTTGGGCTCGAGCTAGCCTGGTGATTGGCTAGGAGGCGAGTTGAGTACTTGGGTCTTGGAGTACTCGATTGAGGGAGAGCATATCAATGTTGGGTTTCACACTTAAGGTAGAGATTGTTGATATATTCAAGTGTGATGAGTCCCACATTGGTTGGTAATGGGCTAAGTAAAAAGTATATACGTGGAAGGACCCATAAACGCAATGCCTTAAGGTTTTGGGTTGAGATGTGGTGTCGGACCCACTTGGTGTATTTGATCCACTTAGCTCATTGGTGGTGGCCCCTTCCATGGGCTTCCCCTGGACTCGCCTGACACTACAATAGAAGAAGGCTGTATTTTTTTTTTAGTTTCTCAAAGTATCCGACAGCCGACAGCCAAAGACTAATCCTTTCGAGGCGGGAGATCACATTAAGTGGATAAACTTCTCCCAACAAAACCTTCTTCATACACACGGTCAGAAATCGAACCCTTGTCAGCATGCTTAAGGAACCCAGCTATCTACCAACTATGCTGAACTTTGTTGCTAGCAAGGCTGTATTTTTTACCGATAGTTATATATGATTAAGAAGGATCAAAGTGAAGTGAATTTTATTATTATTTTTGTTGTTAATCTATAGTTGAAATCTTTTTACTATGTATAAGAAATTCTTATCTTGTTTTGTTGAGAATATTTCTTTTACCAATTAAAAGTTTAGATCCAGGTAAGAAATGCTCCATATAAGGTCAAGAAAGACCACCAATTTTATTGAGGATTTATGGTAAAATTACATATCATCTACAAACATAAGAATCGATCATGTGTGCCCCCGTCATTAATTGTTGGGAATATTTCAATTGAACTAAACATGGGAAAGAAATTTTATTGGAAAAAATGTAATATATTATTGAGTGGCAAACAAATATATTTTATCAACTTTCCCATCAATCATATTGCTGGTAATGGAATTTCAAGAAATGTAATCTGATTGGGAATAAAACATTTCCTATATCATATACCAAACCAGGGGCGGACCGAGGGGGGTGCAAGGGTAGGCGGCCACTCCCCTCAAAATTTGAAGAATTTTTTTAACATAAGTATAATGCAATAAATTTCTATTTTTTCTCTCTATTAATGTGAAGTAGTTTTCTCCCACCGCAGAGAGTTTATAGAGTTTATAAGATCTGTTTACAAATTACACTAAGTATGACCAGAGCCATACACTCTTGATCAAAATATGACGGTCAGACATAGTATAGTTTGTAAGAGTTTCTAAATGAAAAGCTAGTAAATATAACCTTCCCATTAAATTATAGTTTAAATCTCGACTTGAAACTTACACTTTCAACTTTTATTATGCTTAGATGTTAGCACAAATCTTCCCATCAATAAATAAAAATAAGAAGTCCGAGAGTCTTATGAAATAATGAACCTTATTCTTTCGATCCCTCTCCTTTTCTGATGATTCGTGACAGAGAGGGGAGTGAGGGGCAGAAGGGTTTTGGTGATTGTGCTTCTTGGCAATCTGTCTCTTCTGATTTATCTTTGACTTTTTTTTCTTGTTGGGCTAACATTGAGTAAATAGAAAAAGAGGTTAAAAAATGATAAGGGTCTCCTACTCTCCTTTGAATTATCTATTTAGATATAGTAATTAGTTCATATTTTTTGTGAAATCTAAACCTTTGCTCTCTTCTCTTTTTCTTTGTTTTCTTTGCATAAAAAATGTTCATTTTAGGGGTTGAAAAGCTGTAGTTTTTTTCAAATTGATAGTAGATTTTACTGTGACATCTTCCACCTCTCTCTCTGTCTCCTTCTTTCTCTCTATAACAAGTTAAAAGAGGTATTTATGAGTTATGTTCTTTGGATTGGTGTTTCGGCCTCACACATATTGTGGTTGAAGAGAGGAACAAATATTTGATTTTTCGTATTTTGATCTCTCATATATTATATTTAAAGAGAGAAACAAATATTTAATTTTTAGCCTACCACAGGAAAAATTCCTGGGTCCGCCACTGTACCAAACACCGCTGAATTCTTTTGGTGCTAGGGGTATATTTGTTTCTGTCTAGGCACTGCAGAGTCAGGAGTAAAATTCGGCTAGTGTCAAAAGATTCAAGTAAGTAGAATTCGGCCGATATCAAGATTGTATTATTTTCAAAAACTCAATCATTACTAAGGTTGTATCATAATTTTTAAAGAAAATTTATGTCAATTTTAAAAATTAGCTGGTGCCAAGGCACCACATGAGTAACGAGTGGCTCCGGTGCTATCTCTAGGGGTATAATATATCAATATGTATAATATATTAATATAACAGTGATCTAATGAGAGAGGTAAGAAAAAAAACTCAACTATGGAGTCATCGTATATAATTTCAGTCGAGCACTAAGAATTAAGGGAAAGATGTGAGGGCACTATGACTCTGGAGTGATTGTAATATGACATAAAGTGATTGTAAAATGTGTCTCTTGACCTCTTCAATAAAGAAAAAGGGTATTTAAAGGGCGGAGACCCCTGGTGTGCATTATGCTTAAGTCTAACTATTTTTTCCCTTAGACCTACTTTGAGTGAGGCAATTTAGGGCCTTTACTAATGTACATAGTTCCGCCCATGTCCAGCACTCTAGTAGATTACGGTATTTAAAGTCAGAATAGGAAGTTAATATCATTTTTCATTCTAAACTTGCCAACCTCAGCTTTCATGTTCGGGATCAAAGCAACTGATCTTAACAACTCCTTATATGTTATTGACTAAGGAAAAGATGTTCACACAAATGTAAGGTATGCTCACTATCTGAATCCTTCATAAGAAAAACTATAGAACCATTATGTTTATCTCTGGTAACTTGTACGGGAGTACGTAAGGAGTGTGTAAGTGTGGAACAAATCTTTGGTGCATGTACCAAATTGAGTACATCTTTTTTTAAAAAGAGAAAAAATTTCAATATGATGGGATTTTTTTTTCAAAAGTAGTGAAAAGTTTTCCAAAAATGGAAAAAAAAATGTAACCACAGTTGGATACATCTGATACACCAAAGATATTTCGGTAAGTGTGAGTTTGTGTATGTATCATCTCTTTATTACTTTATTTACCAATTTATTTGTTCCAAGCATACCATTATGCTAATTCAAATCCTGCCAAAATTTATTCCTCCATTATATATTATATATTTTCTATGTGGCGTGAAAACGATCACAAATAATGCACAGCATTATGCAATAAAAGTTCAACAGAAACCATATCAGTTAAAGATCTGCAGTTAATGACATATATCCGGTTCACATAAACAATGGTAGGGACCGCGTTCATTGGTTAATAGTTATGATGATTTATGTTTATAATTTATGTGTCTTTGGCACATATCCATAATCATTTATATTTTTTATTAATGATCAAAAAATACCAAGGAACTTTGGTCTAGGTCACTGAGAGAAGTTGTAAGAAGTAAAGTTCTCCGGAAGAGAAAAACTTGTTTTAGATTGGTGCAAGAAAGAGATTATAGAGCAAAAACAATCCTTACCAAAAAATGAAAAAGCCCCTTATGTACCCCACGACTTAGTTTCCATCTCAGCTATACTGCCCCAACATGGTGACATAGCTCCTTTTTTTTTTTTTTGGAAATAGTGACATAGCTCCTTGAATAGAGAAAATTGGTTGTAGAAAAAGATGGTGTCAACTTTGCCATAATAGTTTCGATATCACAACTACTTAGGTGGGATAGACAGCGATAAATTCATGCTTCTCACAAAGGGTCAGGAAATAAACACGAGTTCTTTGGACGGGTTATATTAATCTTATCGTTGCTTATGTAAGCAACCAAACATTTTCACCTCATAGCTAGGAGCAATTCAACAGAATGAATCCTTCGATACTGAAGTTTTCTTTCTTTAAATTTAAGGTTATTTAGGTACTACTATTAAGTAAGATAACTTTAATGATTGCTATTAATATTTATGAACCGTACATGTTTCATGGTGATCTATAGTTAAAATAACAAACATCCTCCTTTCACTACAAATTTATGATCTCCACGATGCTCTTCCTTAGTATAATAATATCGCTTAAGCTTTGACTCCAATTCCCTACTTAAAAATATTCATTCATCAAATTTCATTTAACTGGGCTTCACATTGCTAAATCTCCAAGAGAAAGCTTAACAAATAAGCGTTGAGTCTAACCCCTTAATTGACACCAAAGATTTGATCAACCTATTAAGAAGGTACCATTCATCATAGATCATTGCATTTTCTAACTCCATTTCCAAGCAATCAATTCAGTCCATTATTACTACTCCTTAAGCATGCAAAGGACATCTTGAAAAAGGAACCGATCGAAAACTTAATAAATATCTTAAGCCATCGACCAATCAACTACAAACTATATATACTAGTTCAAGCTTTACTTATGACTCCATCAACCTGAATTTCATAATTTTTTTCAACGGTTTAATTTATTATACATATATGCATTTTTCTTTGGGAACAGTATAAACTCTACAACTTTCAACAGTCGGTACCTATGTATTATTCTCTGCAATATTCGCATGCATTATATAGTCACTATAATGAATAGATGATGTCAAACCAGCCGAAGCTCAGGACCATGTAGAAAATAATTAGATGTGAAAAGTCAATACTCCATTTAGTTAACAGAATGAAGACGTAAATGGAACTATAGAACCAGGTCAACAAGCTGGTCCATCTCCTATGTATATGGTTGTTTGATTGATTGTGTACATATTAAAAGGCTAACCTATATAATTCATTAAGTACATCAAATATAGCACTCGCAATTTCATGTACTGACAGATAGAACTAATTGGTTACAATAATTATCATATTGATCTTGAGCTTTGAAGGAGCTTTAATCAATTAGCTAGGCACTAAGTTTAGAAGTCCATAATAAATTTCCTTTAATTTCTCACAACACCCTTTTCGAGAAGCTTCAATAAATTATTATATATATATATATATATATATATATATATATATTTCCATAAAATTAGGAAAAATAAGCGAGTGAAACGATGTTTCTGTAAGACACATCATGAGATCGCATCCAAGATCCCTCTCTCACTCTCCTCTCTCTCTCTCTCTCTCTCAGACACACACACTCGTACACAACGCAGAAACTAGCTATAGAAGCAATAGGATGGAAAGGAAGTACATAAATATTAATTGTTAACAACACACACACACATATATATATATATAAGAAAGAATGACCATAAGAGTCTCAAAAGTCAAGAGAGTGCAATAATGGCGTACCTGGAGCTGCCATAATCAAAGAGCTTCCCGGTAGCTGAGAAAACAATGAGTCCAACATCAGCATCGCAAAGCACAGAAAGCTCTTCAGCTTTCTTGAAGAGTCCTCGTCTCCTCTTAGAGAATGTTACCTGCCTCGCTGTTATGTTGTCGATTTTCTTAATCTTGATCTTCGCCCTCGTCATTTTCACTTTTTTTCTGCACAAAACTACTATTTCAAACTCTTATCCTTTCACGTTCTCATAGTTTATCTCTAAATAACATACACATAAAATACGTACAAATAAAATAGAAGATATATATATATATATATATATATATATATATATATATATATATGGAATAACCAAAAAAAAAAAAAAAAACCCTAGTAAAACACCCAGTTTCAGATCTGGCTAACAGGAAAAAGAAAAATAATAATAATAATACCACAAAAAATGAAGCTCATAAACATGCAAGGATATAAGAGCTTTGGATTGAGGGGTCATGGGTTTAATTTGATTTTGTTGATTTCAACCTAGTAGAGCACTCCAGCACTATCTCGATCAGTGAAAAAAATGTTACCAATCAGATTAATTATCAAAGAAAGGAAGTAGTAGAACTAGAAAACGAGAACTTTAAGGACAAGAAGAGACAGAAGAGAGAGAAAAGAAAGAAAGAAAACCTTGATTGGAACGCTGGCTTGGTATCAAGAAAGGAAAGGAACTAAGGAACCCTTCCCTTTATAGCTAATGAACTCTTTCTATTTTGTTACTAAATTATCTTTTTAGTTTTTTTTGGCATATTTTCTTACCTTAAAATGGTTAAAGTTTCAGAGACTAGTGTCAGCAATCAAAAATAGACCGGGACCTTTGAAAACTATGATTATTTATTGAAATTAATATTTTATCTTTTATATTAATTTTATCTTTTATATATGGATTTTATGTCTCTCCTTTCATAAGAGAGATTGTTTATTTTGCTGTAGACAGAAAAATTGGTGGGACCCGTTATTTGTGAAAAAAGAAAAAAGAAAAAAAAGCAAACACAAGTTTCGAAAGTATCAGCGGGAGAGTTAAAAAAATTTACGTGGCTGGAGAGAATTAAACCATTTATATATATATATATATATATATAGATTTGCATTTGTCATTTAACATGACACAACAAACTTTTCTACACACACAATATTTTGTGGAGCTCACACTTTTTTGAAGAAAAAAGAAAAAAAGAAAATTACAGCACGCAAAACGAATCTCTATAACATTACACAATCACTTTTCCTACAACATAACTCTTATAAAATCCATATATATATATATATATATAAATAAAAGTATGTAAAATTTATATATATATATTTTTTTATATAATCTCATATAAATCTCATATATTTTTATATATACAGCAGATAAAATTATCTCTCAAGAAACATTAATTACTTATTTATTAGAATTTTTTGTTTCTTATATTATAAGAGATAAATTTATCTCCTACATACATATAAAATTATGTAGGACTTTTTTTTTTTTTTTATATGGATCCACATAAATCTTATATACTAAAATTTATATCAGAACACTTTTTGGTACATTAGATATAAGTTCATCTGTTCAAAAATAGTAAAAATTTAATTAAAAAAAGATATGAATTAAATTGGAATATTTCTTTTTAATAAAAGAATATACTATATGTGTACATTTAATGTACTGAAGAAATTTCCCTACAAGAAACATTGAAAACTGCTTTTCGTTCTTGAGAGACACATGCCATGTCAGCTGAGTCTCGTACAAGTTTCAAGTCAAGCGTCTGTTTGGTGGGAAGTATAAGGCTTGATAGTATAAGCTTATATTATACGTTATGACATTTTTAGTTGTTTGGTGTGACCATCGTATAGTATAAGCTTATATAACAGAATCTCTTAATACATCAAAATAATGTATAACTTAATCCGACCTAAGGAGGGTAGATTAGGCCTGATAAGAGATTAATGTATTAATATTACTTACAAGTGCAATTTCCAAGAACTAATATATCATTTCAATATTAATATATTAAAATAATTTTTTTTAATATATTAATTTTTAAAATATTAGAAGTTATTATCTTATACAATATCATACCAAACGCTGGATTGTATTAAAATTTAATCAGATCTTATACTATCAGGCCTTATCCTATACTATTCATCAAACATATCCTAAATTCATTAATACCATATGACTTATAATCTGCCAATTCATTTCTATTTAATTTTTTTATGAATATTTAAATGTATTTCTGTGGACTATTGCTTTTCGTACATTATAGCCATACTGCATGTCTGGCATGCCATTGCACCACATAATAATTTTTCATGAGTACTGTTCATGTACTATTTTTCTATATTACTTTTATGTTAATAATTTAGTGTGTGTTATAAAGTATTAAAGTGATTAGAAATATTATTTAATTATTAAATGTGATATTTGATTAATATATCTGATTATCGGGTAATAACACTATATGCCTATTACTAGTATAAAACTAAGGAATGTTTCTCATATCGGCGATATAAAAAATAAATTTATTTCTTATATATACATAAAAGTACGTAGTCTCACATGTAAAAAAAGAGAAAAAAAAAAATATGAATTTCAAACACTTTTATATGTGTATAAAAGATAAAATTATATCCTACAATATCATAAATATCTTGTTTGAAATCTATTCTAGAAAATAATTTTTTGCTTTTCAAAAGAAAAATAAAACAAAAAAACTCATTTGGTAAAAAAGTAAATAAAAAATTATAACTTTTTTTGTTTTTAAATCAAATTTAGAGAACATATCTGACTTATTTTTATTTTTTGTTTTGATTTTTAACTTATAAAACAAAAATAATCATATAAAATATCTATTTTCATAACTATTTTATAAAATAATTTTAAGAACAACAAAAAATCAGAGGCTCATTAATCTCTAAAAAAATAGAGTATAAATTTTGATATACAAAAATCATTTTTCTTTTATTTTTTGCTTTGGTACAAACTAGATATTTATATTTATTTTTATTTTGGTATGCGATATTTTTTAATTACCCGCACATGGACCTTGTACTTATACGTCTCTCCCGTCCCGAGTATATAGTTTCCCGTTTTGCAAATGTTTTGTGACAAGCTTGGATGAAATAATTTAGGCAAAAAAAGAAAAAGAAAAAATTATTGTAAACAAGCATTTTATTTCTTATAAAAATAAAGTATTATCATATGATTTGTTTATATTCTCTTATTTAATTTTACAAATTATTCAAAATTGAAAATATTTGATTATACTTTGCAGGTAAATTTCAAATTCTTCGATCAAAAAATATTTTTAAAAGTAATGTTATACTTATGGTGTATTTAAATTAATTTATTTTAGAATAAAAGATTCAATAAATTCTTATTTAAGTTTAAAAAATAATTTATTTTCAAAATAATTTATTTTCGATTATGTGCTTACAACAAGCTTATAAATTTCTATATGAGAGGATTAAGCCATTAGCTTGTGGAAAAGAAATGGATAAACCATGGGGTATATCATCTAGTAGGTTAAAGAAAATTTTGTGTAAATGTGTGAGATGGCATCTTAATTCTTAAGGGTCATTTTATTACTTCTTATTTTAAGAGTTTAATTTTGATACATTGTGAGTGGAGAAAAAAGTTGTATACATATATTTGATAATGTGTTAACAAATTATTTAATAAATTTTAAATTTTATGTAATTATTAAAAAATTAATATTATTAAATGAATTGATGTAAAGACAAATATTAAATGATAATCTAAATATTTTACAGTGCATCAAAATCATGCTTTTATCATTAAAAATATTAAATGAAATTATTTTATTAACAGCTGTCAATAGTTACTTTTCAAAAAGAGTATAATATTATTTACCTTGTTGATTGCTGGTCTGTAATGAGTTTACTATAATCTAAATGAAATACATTAATTATCAAAAAAGAAAGAAATGGAATAAATTTGCATTGAAGAAAGATTGGAAGTAGTTTTAATTATTATAATGTACAAATTAATATTTTGTACTTTATGGTTGTTGATTAATTTATATGAGGGGTAAACAACAATAATAATCAAATGTAATTGTGATATATTAATAAGAAAAATATTTCATTATCATAAATTTAAAAATAACTACTTAGCTAGCCAAGAGTTGGATATGTTTATTTAATATGTCATAAGTCTAAAACTTTTGAAAATTTTCGAGTTTAGGTGGAGACAGAAAAATATTTTGGTGTTCAAATCAAAGCACCACTCTGACCAGGGCAATAAATATCTGTTTAGGGAGTTCAGGTCTTACCTAACTGAAAAAAAGATAGTTTCAAAATTGTCATACACAAGGGCGCCACAACAAAATGAAGTTGTTAAAATAAAAAATTGAACCCTTTTAGACATTGTAAAGTCTATGCTCAGTTATTCATCATTGTCTAAATTGCTCTGGGAATATGCCATAGAAATTGGTATGTACTTTCTGAACTTGGTTTCATCTGAGTATGTTTCAAAGGCGCCCATAAAATTAAGGAAATTATGTAAAATCAGTTTAAACAATATTTGGATTTAAGGTTCTCCAACAAACGTCTCGTAGCAGAAGTAAAATAAGATGGATTTTCGAATGAAAGTGTGCATGTTTATTGGCAACCCTAAGGGAACCATAAGTTGACTATTTTATAGTCTAAAGGATGAGAAGGTCTTAGTGAGAACTCATGCGACTTCCTTATAGGATAATTATGTGGAAAATTATAAGTTTAGGAACTATTCTTGATGAATTTGCCTTAGTTCAAGAATCTTCTAATACTCTCGAAGTTCCACCTTATGTTCCCGTGATTTTTCAAAAAAGAAAAATATACCTATAAGTGAATCAACACAAGAACCAGAACCAGAAGTTCAACATGATAATATACAAGTGAAAATACTAGTACCACATGTATAAGAACGATATCAAAGAGTTGTTGACCTACAAAATGTAAATCCTTAAGAAATCGCTTGTTGGGTGAAACTTGTCATGCTATCATCATAGATAATGATGACAATCTCACTAGTTACGAAGAAACAATAGAAGATATTGATGCTCAGGAGTGACTTTGGGTTATGAACAGTGAAATAGAAGATATTGATGCTTATGAGTGATTTAGGCTATGAACCGTGAGACGATATCGATGTATTCTAACTCGATTTAGTCTTTTGTAGAAGCACCTAAAGGGCTACAACTCATTCAATGCAAATGGATATCTACATAAGAAAAAGAAGACCGGATGGGAAGGTTGAATCCTTCAAAGCTATATTGATAGTAAAAGGGGAAACCCAAAAAGATGATGTGAACTATGATGAAACCTTTTCGCCAGTTACCATGCTTAAGTCTATTTAAATTCTCTTAGGGCATGTTTGGTGCATAGTATAGGATAAGGCCTGATAGTATAAAACCTGATAGTATAAAGCCTGATTGTATAAGACTTTATTAAATTTTAATACTATATAGCGTTTGGCACAGTATTGTATAAAATAATATATTGTATAAGATAAT